TCGTGTTGCCTTTGTGTGTGTGTTTGCTTTGTTTCGTAGGCTTACTCGCCCATTTCGAGTGCCGCACGGGGCCCCAACGATTACCCCCGTGACATTTTGGCTTCCTCTCTGCCTTTGGCAGAGAAAAATGGGTCAGTGGGCTTGGGCTGCATCTCGCATTCTCTCCTTTTTATGCACTTAAAATAAGGCCTTCGGGCTAATTGCTCATGAGATGGATAATGGATTTTACCAGTGATGGTTTTGAATGGTTCCACTGGGCTTGGGAGGCACTTTAGGTCTTGAGGCCAATTATTCGAGGGATGAGGGATGGATATGGCGTGTATTTTGAACGATTTGCTTTGCTAATTTGATAAATATAAGTGTTTATTTTAATAAAAGCTTATGAGTGTTTGGTAAAAAAAACACTTATTTCAAATAAAAGTAGTATAGGTATTTTCAAAATAATGTGGTGGACCAAAGAAAAATAAGTACTTAAAAATACATTCAAAATTTAAGCTTTTTTTTAACACCTACTTATTCTTGCAAATAAGCATTTATTTGGGCTTACTTCCCAAACGCAAATAAATACTTATTTATGTGGTCCTACCCCCGAATAAGCGTTATTCTCGAACATGGGTCCGTCCAAACTTAACGGTAGGAGGATGAAAAATGATGTGCCGGATCGGTCTGGGACTCACTCCGTCACCCAACCTCCACCCTTGTATCACTTGTGCCAATCAACTCTGACTATTGTAATATTATAATTTTTTCTTGAGTTCTTTTTAGTAAATCAGGATTTACTTACAACTCAGTCGATTTGCACTCTTACTCATTAACATAGTTTGCAAACCAACGAGCCTTATTACCTGGAAAGAACTACTACATCGCAGTTGGTAATGACTATTTGATTTTAATGGAAGGCTATTAATGTGATAATTTTATTTTCTTAATGGAATAAATAAAATCTATCTAATTCATTCAATAAAACCGGGGGGAGGATGAAGGAGATAAAACTTTGGCCATCTACTTTTAACAGCTTGTGCTGTTCACAGGCTTTTACCACGTGGCACATTAATCCATACAGCCAAGCCTCAAGCTTTCCAACATTATTATCGTTGCATGTGGTTGTAGACCAACGTATCATTCAGGAATCTAAATTAGTTGTAGTTAGTTTTAGATTTCAAAAAATGATATGACCTGATCTTAAGTGTCGTCAATGTCTCACACCGCTGTCTGTGTATTGCAATACTAATAACAAGTGGACATGTATGTCACTGCTTGATATACATACTAGCATGTGGGCCTCATGTGTGTGTGTTTCACTTGTGATTGATTACCTAGCAATGCTAGTGGTACACAGTGGTGGATAAGCAGAGTTGGGATATCTTTCCAACAAAACACATCCAATGAGATATGCGGTGTT